CTCCGCCACCGACCGGCGTCACCGCGCGCGTCACCGCGGGCGGGGCATCGCCATGGCAACCGGGCTGCCACGGCCCGCCCCGCGCCGCCGCCGCCGCGGGGACGGCGCGCGGGGACAGGGCCGGTGACAGTGCCACCAGCCCTGGGGGACACCGCGCGGGGACAGGGGCAGTGACAGTGCCACCGGCCCTGGGGGACACCGCGCGGGGACAGGGGCAGTGACAGTGCCACCAGCCCTGGGGGACACCGCGCGGGGACAGGGGCACCGAGCCTGGGGGACACCACGAGGGGACAAGGCCACCGGCACGGGGACACCGCGCGGGGACAGGGCCACCAACCCTGGGGGACACCGCGCTGGGACAGTGCTACCGGCACGGGGACACCGCGCGGGGACAGGGCCATCAACCCTGGGGGACACCGCGGCACCGCGCTGGGACAGTGCCACCAACCGCCGGGGGACACAGCGACATCCGCGCTGTGACGCCGCCAGTGCCACCAGCTGTGTCCCCACGGCGCGGCTCGGGAGCCACCGGAGCGACCCCTCGGCGCTGGCATCGCGCAGAGCAGCGCCCTGGCAGAGGGCAGGTCACTGGGGCGGGTGGCACAGGAGAGTGGCCGGGGCGTTCGGGTGTCTCCAGCCCCTGGGCAGCGCTGCCACCCTCCATGGGAAGTTCTGACAAGTTTAAAAAACTCGGGTTTTTGAAAATTTCTGGCCGTTGCTCCTCATCCTGTCACGCTGAGCGGAGCCTGGCCCCATCCTCTGACCCCTCTGGAGAGGTTTGCACACCTTGGTGACATCCTGCCAGCCTCTGTGAGCTAAACACGTCCAGATCGTTTCTGGATGAAGAGGAATGGGGCAGCCCCAGGTGTCTGTCCAGCCCTGCTGTCTGTCTGTCCAGCCCCAGGTGTTTGTCCAGCCCCAGGTGTCTGTCCAGCCCCAGGTGTCTGTCCAGCCGCCCTGGTGTCTGTCTGTCCAGCCCAGGTGTCTGTCCGTCCAGCCCAGGTGTCTGTCCTGGCCAGGCAGGTGCTCAGGGTGATTTTTGCAGGTCCTCTCTCAGTGAATTATTCTGCTCGTTTATTTCCTGCACGTTTGGAAGGGCAGATTTGGAAGCTCTCTTGGTCCCTTTGACCTGAAATGACCCGAGGACCATCAGAGCTGAGAATGTTTGAAGAAATTTAAGGCCCTTTCTGCTGAATTTCCTTTTCAGTGCTGAGTCCACTGATTCTGCTTTAGGTGTGCACTTACATTTTAAAACTCCACGGTCTTTGCTCCCCCAGTTCATGCCTGTCCCTCCCTCTCCCCTGCTCCATCCCAGGCTGGAGGACTGCTGCCTTCCTGGCATTTGGGAAGCAGGAATCACCCCTGGGATCTTTGCTGAGCTCCCCTGACTAAACAAGGCTCATCCCAAAGCTGATGGCACAGCACGTGCCTGTTGAATCAGCCACAGAGCTTTATGAACACACAGAGTGGACACAATCAGCTCAAAACAGAGCCTAGACACTAAAAAAAAAAAAAAAAAAAAAAAAAAAAAAAAGAAAAAGAGTGGAGGAATGCAAGGAACAAAGTTGTGTCGCTCTTTCCCTTTTTAGACAGGTTTTACACGTAAAGCTGCCTCATCCTTGTGAAAAGTTACTTTTGTTCCGTGTCGAGCAGCGATGACTGTTCAACATCTCTGTGCAGAAATTAATGCTTGTCCTTCACTGCTGATGAGATTCCTCCAAGGAGTGACATTTGGGGATGACGCTGCTGGCTCGGGCTGCCATGGAGAATCGGGGAGCTGTTGCTGCTCTATTTATCCCCTGCAGAAGTTCTGGCAGTGAGTAACTGATGGCTCGGGTTAGTCAGCCATCCACCCTTTCAGTGATTGATGGGTACGTGAGAGAGTCTTCCAGAATCCTCTTTGAATAGCAAATGGTGTCATCCCGAGCTGCCACTTGCCAAATTTCACTCCTCTTTCACCTTTTCTTCCCATCCAAACTCGGCGTGTCAAAAGTGACTTTTTTTCCCTACAGAATGTTACCTAATGCTCCTTCTCAGACACGTCATCCTAAATGAAGTTTTTTAGCCTGCAAACGTTTATTTGCTTCCTGCTCACTTTTGATCCTCATCCTGAATGAATGATTGAGCCAGATTTTGGTGCTCGGAAGAGAAAACTCCTGCAGAAACCCCACCACAAAGCCGGAAAGTTCAGGTCACAAAAACACGGCTTAAAAACGCAGCGAGAGGAACTGCACCCACAAAAAAAAATTAAAAAAAAAAATTAAAAAATCCTTTGCAGGGCAGCTTTCAGCGGCCGCTGATGGTTTTTGCTCTGCTCCTAGGAAATGGGATTCAAACCCCTCCCAAAGCGGGGCTGAGCAGATTTTCCAGGACACGAACGTGGAGCGCACATGCCCTCGTGTGGTCGCCGCTCCCGCAAATCCTCCCGCAGCTGGGATGCCCCAAAGGAGGTGTCAAAACTGCGGGATTTATAACATTTCATCTCTTTAATAATTCTGCCAGAGCCCAACGGGCGGCTCAAGAGGTCGGATCACACCTTTGGCTGCCAAAATGCGGCTTTACACAGCTGAACTCCAGCATCTGACAAGTTCTCCCCATCACTTTCCTCTTTTTCAGTGCCTAAAAGATGCTTAATAGCTGCCAAAAAGAAAAAAAAAAAAAAATTAAGGAGACCGGGAATACAGGATTAAAAATGGACAGACTTTTGCTTATTTTCATTAATTACTGCATTGGAAATTCCAGATATTGTGAGCGCCCAGCCCTGACCAATCTCCTGTACCAGGATTTTGCTTTTCAGGTGAAATTGTTGCCCACTCGATGCTGTTTTCAAAACAGTCAGAAGATTATTTATTTTTTAAAGGGATTTCTCCTTTCAGGGCTTTATTTGCCCCATGTCCTGGTGGGGGAACAGCCGCTGTGACACTGCAGCCACAGCACCTGGGACATTTAGGAAGTGAGAAGCAGCTGTGACAACTGAAATATTTCAGTGTTTGCAGCAGCCAGCAACAGCTCAGAGAGACCTAAAAACTTCTTCCTGCCTATTTCGGCAGAAGAGACTCATGGCTATGCCTGCACTCAGTTCTGTTGTTGTTTCAGCCACATTTAAAACTCCTTTTTGCCAAACCTTTGTTTTCTCCTAGCTTATGATTTTTATTTTTTTTTCATTTTCCTATTTATTTATTGACAATGGAGAACAGCAAACTTTTAGGCAACCAAAACACATTTTAGGCGCTTCATAGTTCTGTTCTGCAGCAGTGCTGCTCTCCTGGAGCCAGAAAATCACCTGCAGAACAAAAGGTGTGAAATATTTGTGCTCCTGCCTGCTTGGTCATTCATTCCCCCTCCACTTCTTGGTCTCTGTCCCTTCCACCAGAATGAGGGAGGAGTAAAAATGGGCAAACTCATGGGTTGGGATAAAGAAATTTAATAGGCACAGGGGAAGTCTCACACACAAGCAAAGCAAACCAAGGGATTCCTTCCCCACCTGCCATGTTCAGCATCTCCAGGAAAGCAGGATCAAACATCACAGGAACTTTTAGCACCTTTGAGGAGGAGGAGTTTATAAATAAATAAGGATTTTGGATTGTCCTTCACTTTCAAGGCATATCTTTGGTACAAAAAGGAATGGAGGGTATTAACAAGCCATTCCTGGGGCAAAGGGGGCTTGGTGCAAAGCAAAATCTTTTCAGTTTGGATCTTTAAAAACCCCTATTCTTGCAGAAAATAGAAGAACAAGGGCACAATGCAAAACCAGGCCGGACACCACACACACACCATTATTAAACAAGTGCATAGAGAGGGCAAGTCAACTCGTGTTGACACCCGAAATCCAAACTCCAGTGGTTTTTTTGGGTCCATTTCCTCAGTATCCATAAATCTCATTGTCCACCCAGCTGGACTCCTCGCTCCTGCCCACACGGTCCCCGCAGAGCTCGTAGATGTCGTTGGTGACAAAGCCGCTCTCCGTGCTGGCCAGCGTCACCAAGCCACTGCTGGAGGTGTCCTCGGCGTCCCTGCAGGGGCTCTGCAGCCCCTCGTGGGCACGGAAGGAGGAATTCTTGGTGCCAGGCCTGGCCCCAGCCAGGTCAGCTTCGGATTGTCTGTTGATCACCCTGTAGATGTCCAGCTCGGGGCTGGGCTGGGGCAGCCAGGGCTCGTCACCCTTCGGGGTCACATCCAGCAGCTGCTGTCTCCTGGAGGGCAGGGAGAGAGGGAGAAGCCATGAAACAGCACAGAGGGAAAGGCAAAGCAGCAGCAGAGCTCTGGCAGCGGTTTGGGGACGTGAAAAATGTGTGTTTTATGATTGGCTTTTCGCAAGGATTAAAATTAATATTGTGTGTGTTATGTTAGAAAGTTATGCTGAGCTTGGAGCCAAGCTGGGCTCAGGGCATTTCTTATTCCAGGCTGCTCTCCTGGAAAACCCCAGGGCAGGACCTGCTGAGCTCAGGGCAGCAAAACCCCTCTGACACTCCCAAAATCCCAGCCAGCATTCCCCTCCGGCTGCTGGGCACGCAGGGAAAGCAGGGAGAGGACATTGCTAAACATTCTCTGCCCCAAATTGTTCTCCTTTTGTTTCCATTGCTGCATTTTTCTCTTTTGAAGGGGAACTTCTGATAATTCAAAGCTTGAATAAGAAAAGTAGAAGGGTTAAGATATCAAAATCGTAATCTTGGTGACATTTTTTTCCTGCCTGCTATGTCTGTGAATGCAAGAAAAGAATATAAAGTGATTTACTGAGAATTTTCCTCCCCAATTGACTCAGCCTGGAGCACCGACACCACTTTTCCAGCATTTCTTTGGCTGCAAACACTCCTGTGCAGAGCTTTTTACAGGATGGGGAAATGAGCTGTGAGCAGGACGAGGTGTCACGGCTAATTCAGAACACAAAAGTGCCACTCACCTCCTCATGAACAGCCAAAAGCAGGAGATGCCTGTGATGGCCATCAGGAGAAGCAGCACAGGAATGCTGGAAATGAGGATGAAGGCAAGGCCCTGAACAGGTTCTGGGGTCATGAGAAGAAATTGCAAGTTTTTCATGGTTAATCACAGATGTAGAAACAAAGCATTCACAATAAATATAACAATAAAATGCACAATAATAATATTCATTATTACATTCACAAAAAAATATAATAATAAAAACAACATTATAATATTAGTTATATAATAGTCACAATAAATATAATAATATCATTCACAATAAATAAATAAATAATAAAAGTGGCTTTTTCACACCCAAAATACTTTGCTTTGGATTTTGAACATTTTCCCACAATAATATAATATTAATTACATAATATTAATAATAAATATAATAATATCATTCACAAGAAATAAATTATAAAAATGGCTTTTTCACACCCAAAATACTTTGCTTTGCATTTTGAACATTTTCACAACCAGATCAACCTCCTTATTCTGTCCTGGGAAATACTGAGGGAAGTTTTTTTTTCCCAGAGGCTGTTTTCTATGTTCAGTCTTCCACGTTTTGAGCCAAACACTTGAAATGAATTTTTGAGAGCACAACTCACCTTTGGCTCCCCCAGCTGTTCTATTGGCACCTTTCCTCCAGCGTTCCTCTGGGAATTTTGCCTTCCAGGGCTCTGTTGCCACAGCTGGAAAGAAGCAGCTTCATTAATTCTGCAGATTTTTTTTTTCTTTTTAATAATAAAAAAGCGAGGCTGAGAGGAGTTTGAAGAGGCTGGGAGCTGCAAAGATGTGTGAGGTGCACCGGGACTCTTGCACTTCAATCCCTGCAGCATCACCCAACTCTGCATCACCAGCAGCAGGATTTTCCCTGCAGGATTTTCCCTGCAGGATAACCAGCTGTTATTTAATAATCAATTGCAATTTCTTCTATTAATTCAGCTTTGCCTGCAGGCCAGCTCTCAAACCCCTCTGGATTTCCCCATCACCGCACTCCTCCTTCCTCCTGCCGGGGCTGGAATCCCACGGAGCCTCCTCACCCAGGGAATATTTGCAGATGAAGTTGTTCTTCATGGTGCACCTGTCATCGTTCCACTGGAACATGTAGGGCCCCCCCAGGCCGGGCGGGGCAGAGGGTTGGTGGTACAGCACCACGCACACCTCGCCCCCGCACGACGGCTCGTCCGCGTACCAGTTCCTGGGGAAACACACAAAAAACCACCTTCCAGCAGCTTGGAGGGGGAAAAAAAGCAGAGTTCCAGGGGTTATGGCACACCCTGTGCTTCCAGCGGGGAAAATGGGAGGGATGAAATGCAGTTTTTTGTTGTTTTAATTCAGATTTTTCAAACTCCGCAAGCGACAAATATCAGCGAGCGAAGGGCTGAGCTTCTCACAATTCCCCTTCCCTCCTTCCTGCCCCCGTCAGCATTACCAAAAGATCTCAGCTAGCACAACTAACAGATTTTATAATTATTTTTGAACAAATTTATTTCTTAAACGTAGTGGCAATGAACACAGAGACCGTGGAATAAACCAGAATCGAGGATTCAGTTCCGGTCCCTGGGTACATCTTAAGAACGTGGGTTTAGAATTCACTATTTTCTTGTAGACAAGGTCCTTTCTTGAACATTAAAGTAGCTCAAAATCAGCTGCAATTGTGTAGAGAAAGTCCAAGTTCTCCTGAGTTCACTGAGCCTTGCAGAGTTGTTTCTCCACACAATTTCAAACCTGTGCAAAATCATCATTTTCGCTCTCTCGGTCTCAGCGCCTGCAAAATTTTGGCACCTATTTAATGAAAAAAAAATGAAAAATCTGCAGCAAAACCTGGCTTCCTCTGTCAGAAATGCACCACCACAGCCTTGCAGATAAATTTTTTTTTTGCTTTGTTTTGTTTTCTAAGAATAAACCTCACCATCAGCCACCTGTGCTGCTTTTCCAAGCAGAGCACAGGAAGGAGGCAGCTCTGTAAAAATCACTGTTGGTGAGGAGATGTTTTATGCAACTCAGAAAACACCTCTAAAAGTGCCCCGATTTTGCCAATTTTCAATCCCCACTGATTCTGAATGTTCTGCCTGCCAAGAATTTGCTGTGAGCTGATCCACAGGACATAAATAATTCCAGATATCCCGGGGTAATCAGCATGGGAGGACACCCATTTTAAGTGGTGTTTTTCCAACCATTCCAATGCTTTATTCCTCCCTCACTTCCTTCCTCCCCTGGTGTTTTCCTTGGCTTTATAATTCAGCAGAAAGAAGAGTGTCTCACCAATGGAAGGCAGGAAAGCTGTGCCTGTTTCTTAGCAGCAGATTCTGGTTCCACCTCCAATGTCTGAACCACGGGAAAGACTTTAAAATATCAAATAATGCTAAAACCTGCTTTTATTTGTTCCTTTCTGAGTGACTGAAATGCCTTATGGGCTCCTAGACCAAAAAGGTCACAATTCCAAAGTGTTTTTTACATGTCTGATATAAGGATGCAAATTGGTGTCAATGTTGCTGCTTTTATAATTTAATTATAGCCAAGCCTGTGGTTCCTTAAGACAAGGAGGCAGAAATCTAAAAAGTGCTGTGAAGACTTCAGTTTTCCATGGCTGCAATAAATCCTGCAGCTCCAATATTTTGCTGTCTCACAGGAAAAAATGTTATTCCCTCAGTAAAGGAATCACATTTTTCATTACTCAGGACATCAGGCATAAACTTCAGGGGATCTGCAGTGCAGGAATCTTCAGTAAGGGAATAAAATTTTTCATTTTTCAGGACAGCAGGCATAAACTTTATGAGATCTGCAGTGCAGGAATCTTCAGGTCATTTGTAGCTGCCTAATGAGAGATTTTTAAGGCTGCACCACTTGTTGTTTCCCCTCCTTTTAGCCCCCAAAAATGATCAATTCAGCCTAAAGCAGCCACTCCCACGGAGCACCAGCAGGAGGGTGATGGGATGGGTGCAGAAGTGTCACTGTCATATTTCCTGAAAAATCCCTTCACCCAGGATTTTTCCTCTGGGAAGCTGAGGAACCTCCGAGAAAAATGAAAACAAGAATTATCTGATTTGCTTCTCCTGTGTTTTGCTGCCTTGGAATGTGGTTGGACATTGTTCACCCACAGGTGATTGTTTCATTGGTTTCATGTGAATTGTTTTGACTTAATGACCAACAGGGGCTAAGCTGTGCTGGACTCTGAGAAGAGAGCCACGAGCTTTTCATTATTATCTTTTAGCCTTAGCCTTCTGTTTGTATACTTTCTGTATTCTTTAGTCCAGTATTCTTTAATATAATACTATATAATATATAATATAATTTAAGATCATAAAAGAATTCATTATTATCTTTTAGCCTTCTGTTCGTATCCTTTCTGTATTCTTTAGTATAGCATTCTTTAATATAATACAGATCACAAAATAATAAATTAACCTTCTAAGACCATGGAGTCAGACCCATCATTCCTTCCAACGACGGGGGTCTCAGAAAATACAACACAGAGGGAGCCCAAGTGACAGCTGGGACATCACTGCCTGGATCCTTTGGACAAAATCCAAACTCCTGAGGAACCTGCCAGTCCCACAGTGCCACTCCCAGGTACCCACCGAAACCTGGACGAGCTCCCATCTGACCAGGAGTAGAAGCTGTGACACTCGGTGCTGTTGTCCTCCTCCTCCTTCCTCCTCCTCAGCCCTATCCAGAAGTCTCCATCCGAAGCCAGCAGGCTCCTGATCAAGGATTCAATCAGCCTCTGCTCTGCCGGGCTCTCGATGCTGACCAAATGTCCCCCGTCAGCCCTGCAGGCCAGGTGAGCTTCCTCATAGCTGCTCCTGCGGGAGGCATCGTGGAAATAAACGATTTTGTAGCAGGGTTTCTGCGTGCCACGCCTGCAAACCGTCTGCCCTGCAGGGAGGGAGAGAAAACCGTTACAGGAACGGCGTTAAACGGGACCAAAATTGAGGGTGAAACATCAGTTTGGGTGAGTTTTGTGCTGTTTGTATGGAAAAGACAACACAGGTGAAAGCCTTGGCAAATGGCATCTCCAAATTTTTGTTACTGAATCTCAAAATTTAGGTCGGTCCTTTCATGTCCTGCTGTTCTCAGCTGCCTCACGATTTTTCTGGGATTTGCAGATCCTGGGAGTTCCCAGCTCCCAAAGAAACACTGTGCCAGAGCAAACTGATGCATGCAACCTCTTGAAAGGCAAAGTTCCCTTGCAAGGGTTCCAAGAGGCTTTTTAAAATGATGATTATTTTTAAGGAGTTAAATGGTCAAAATTAGAGATTTCCTTATACAAGCAGAGATAGCAAGAATTTATCTTTCATGCAATATATACCTATATGCAATAGAATACTGTATATATAATATATATTATATCTCTATGCAATATAGGTATAATATAGATATAATATATATTCTATGCAATGGTTTAATGGGTATTGCAGTGCCATAGAATCCCAGAATATTTGGGGTTGGAAAGGACCTTAAAACCATCTCATGGGGACACCTTCCAGCATCCCAGGCTGCTCCAAGCCCAGTCCAGCCTGGCCCTGGGCACTCCCAGGGATGGGACATCCCCAACTTTGACCAAGCAGGGCCTCACCACCCTCACAGGGCAGAATTTCTTATTTACACCCAACCTCAAACTCTTTCATTTCCAGTGTCTGTGCTGGGGATCACAGGATGAGCTCCCACAGCCCAGTTTCCAGCTCTGCTCAGTGTTTCTGCCTGCCCAGGGAGTAAACAATGTCTGTTTTCAGGCTGTCTCAGGCACAAGCAGCAGAGCTTATTTTGGTTCCGAGGGAAGATCAAAGTGAAAAGACACATCATCCAAAATGATGCACTTGGGTGTTTTTTTTCAGCAGAGCAGTCCCAATATTTAGACTGTGGAAACAAACAGTTTTGTTTTGCTCAGTAAATATTTCTTTGCAGGCACAATCTGCTAACCTACATGTTTTTTTTACAGAAGGAAAACATTCAGCAACACTTGTGGTGTGCTTGGAACAAATGAGATAATACAAGGACAGGTCATTGTAAACCCTGCCATGGGATCATTGCTGGCTTTGCTTTATCCTTTCATGTTGATCTGTAGGAGTGGGAGTTCCAACACCTTTCACACTGGAATTTTTCAGCAGTTAAAAAGCCAGAAATGGAGTTTGCTAACATTTTGCACAGGGGTTACAATAGGAGCAGGATTTTTACTATGACAGCACTATTAAAAACACATTTCTAGCACAGCCTGTGCTTCTCTTGGGAATTTGACACCCGGAGAAAAAGGCAAAACCCCTTACCTCTTCTGAGGGAAATGTCCACTGCTGCTGGGAGAGGCAAAAGGAAAACACAGACACCAGAGTGTCGTTAAAAACCTGCAGCTCTCTAGAAACAGCGTCACAAAAACTGCACTCAGGCTCTTCCCTGATCCACAAACACATTTTCTCCGCATTAAAAAAAAAAAAAAAAAAAAAAAAAAAAAAAAAAAAAAGAAAAAAAAAAGGGAAAAAAAGGGTAAAAAAAAAAAGGAAGAAAGTTTCTGCCTTATCAGCCAGCTTGCCACTACTTTCAGCTACGGAAATTAGCTGGAGCTGATTCCTGGCCGGGTTCGCTGCCCGGTTTAGGAGCCGGAACGCGCAGCTCTGAGCAAGGCTGAAAGGATTCCTTGTGCTGCCCCTGATCCTCGCTCGGGATGTGCCGCTGGCTCCAGCCAGCTCCCCAGGGCAGGGCGGCGGGGAAAATCAGCTGGGAAAGTTGGAGAAAACCTCCAGAACGACCGAACCCAACCTCCCCCCGCACCGCCGCCAAGCCAGAGCATCCCTGCCCGTGTCGCGACAGCCGCCCGCGCATCCCGACCCGCGCAGCCACAGGGGCGACACTGGCGGGGCCGGAGGGATCTTTTCGGGGTAAAGAGGATTCCCAGGCACTCTCGCAGCGATCCCCGGCCATGCCGAGCCCCTCTTACCGCTGAGCAGCCGCGCCCCCGCCGCGCAGCCCAGCGCGGCCGCGCACAGCGCTGCTGCCGCCAGCATCGCTCCGCCGGGGACGGGACAGCGACAGCTCCTCCTTCCTTCCTCCCTCCTTTCCTTCCTCCCCTGCCTCTTCCCGCCTCCTTCTTCCTCCTCCTCCTCAGCCGCGGCCCCGCGGAGCCGGCGCTGCCCCGGGGCTGGGCGCTCTCCTCCCCCGGCCGCTCCCCGGCTCCGCGCCCCGCATCCCCCTGCCCGCATCCCCCGCTCCCGCTTTATATCCCCCTGCCACCCCCTGCCCACCAGGAGCCGCCCACGGGCGGATCCAGCCCCGCGCTGGGCGTTTCGGATTGGTTTGGGTTTGGTTTTTGGTTTTTTTTTTTTAAAGGTTTTTCCTTTGCTTTCCCAGCTGGGGAGAAGCGGGATGAGCTTTATGGTTTCCTGCCGCTCCAGCCAAACGCTGACCTGTTTTATCCATCCCAATCCCGGTTTTCTAAACCCATTCTGAGAATCTATATTCTACAATCTGACTATTCTGAGAATCTATATTCTAGAATCTATTCTGAGAATCCATATTCTATATTCTAGAATCTAACTGTTCTGAGAATCTATATTCTAGAATCTGACTCCTCTGAGAATCTATATTCTACAATGTATTCCGAGAATCTATAGTCTATATTCTATAATCTAACTATTCTGAGACCCTATATTCTATATTCTAAAATCTAACTCCTCTGAGAATCTATATTCTAGAATCTATTCTGAGAATCAATATTTTATATTCTAGAATCTGACTATTCTGAGACTCTATACGCTAGAATCTGAATATTCTGCAATCTACATTCTAGAATCTGACTATTCTAAATATCCTGGCTATTCTGGGTCAGAAGGGATCACCGCAAGGATCACTTTAAGTGCAAAATCCCGGGATTGCCTCCAAAATCTCGGCGTTTTTAGCGCACGGTGCCTGAGGGAAGCCCCGGGAGGGGAAGCTCAGCACGGGAATTGTGATTCCCGCAGGGATAAAGGCTGAGCCCGTCCTGGGAAGCTGCTCTGCATCCCTGTTTGTGGCTCACGCTCCGAGAGATTTTCCCAGGTGGTGGAAAAGCAGCAAAGTGAATCTGCTCAGGCAGAGAAAAAGCAGGATTGACTCTTTAAAATAGGAGATTGATGGTTTTATAGAAGATTTAAAACTGGAGCTGCTCTTGGGAGGTTAAAGGGAGAAGCTGATTCTGAAATTTGTATTTTTAAGGGGAGGAGAATCCTTTAAAATGCCATGAAAACAGCTCGCTCCAGGCTGGCAGGAGTCAGGAATTCCAGAGGGAAGGGTTAGAAAGCTGCTGGCTTTGTTTCCTGGCTTTTCCAGAAAAATAAAAATACTTCCACAACCACTCTGTTCCCTGCCTTTCTGAACTCCAGCCAGAATTAAAGCAAAATTAAAAAATGGTGAAGCTTCCTTCTGAAAAATGGTGAAGCTGCCATTTCCTTCTCTTGGCCACTACTGAGAAAAAAATGGGAAATATACAGAAAAAAAGGAGAAAAGTCTAAAAAAACAGCAGCAGCCTTTTAATTTCTAAATCTTATAAAAATATGTATAAGTACAGGATAAAAAAGTAGTTATTGTAGTAATAGTAATGATAATTATTAAGAAAATAATAATAATAATAATAATAATAATAATAATAATAATAATAATAATATCCAGGACATCTTTTTCCCCTAAATAGAATCTGAGTATTTAGACCAAGGGAAATAAAAAACAGAATTTGGGCCAAGCAGACAGACTTAGTTCAGCATTTTAATAAACTTTGAGAAGAGGAAGTGCTTAATAGGAACCAACTGAAAAGCTTCAATAAGGAGGAAGGAAAAAAAGAGGCTTTTATGTCCAAAATGAAGACGTCATTCCTGAAAGTACCTTTTGAAATCTTGTTTTCCAGGTTATTTCTCCAATCTCTGCACTTATCAGCTTTAATATCTCAGCGCTACTCTGTGCAACTGAGGAATTAAATTGTGTTAATTCAGATATTTGGTTCTTAACCTTCAACTCATTTGTCTCTGCTTTGTGTCCTGGGAATTACAGCAGGAGGAAAGAAAAGCCTTAATAGAATCCAGACCTCTTACTCCTGGATTTGATTCTCCTGATAAACATCCGGCCAGGCCAAGCCAAACCATTTTAAATCAGTAAATCTGTATTTCACTGCTGATAATAATAAAAATCCCCAAATGGAATTCTTGCTTTATTGCTCAAATCCAGTTCCTGAGAGCTTTTTAGGGAGCAGAGCAGCCAGTTTGGTAATTTGGTTATAAACTGAGTTTTTGTGTTTCAGTGGGTAAAAATCTTGGAGACAATAATGGAAAAAAAAAAACAAACAAACCAAAAAACCCAAAAAACCCCAAAACAATGGCCAGGGTGTAAAAATTCCTTTCATATTAAACTGAGGAATTCAGACTCACTGCCTTATTTCTTGTGGTTTTGATATAGAAAATTGTCCTTAATAACTTTTTTTAGCTCACCTAAATTCATTTACCCCCTGTACCTGGCCTGGAATTTCAGAGTTCCCCAGCCTGCAGGCTCCTCTTTGCTTATGGAATTTCCACATTCTTTTCCCAGATTTATACAATTTCCAAGGTTTGCTCTTTGAATTTGTCCATGTCTGAATCAAATCTGAAATCTGGATTTGAACACTAAGCAATATCCGTGACTGACAATAACCTGAACATTATTCTTATTCTATCCACTGCATTAATTTGAATTTTCTTAGACTTATGGGAAGCTTTTAGTGTCCTATATTTGTGTGAAGCCATTTACTGCTTCAAATGAATTTTCTGGCTGCCCAAAGCTGCAAATCCTGGCTTTCATCCCTGCTTGGAAAACCCCTCCAAACCCATCAAGACCAACCTTCCAAGGAATTTAAAAAAAATTTAAAAAATTAAAAAGAATGGGAGCCTCAGTGAGCTGCTGCTGGCTGCAGGCAGCGTTCAGAGCAGACTAATGGATGGTGATGGATGGGATTCCTCGTGGGATTATTGATGGGGAAGGGGGGATTGCTGACTCGCAGGAAAGGCTTGCAGAGCTCAGCACCTCCTGCAGATTCTCTGCCTGGCCTGGCTCCCAAACCCAGCTCTCCACTAAAAATGGGGACTGCTCTACTAAAATTAGGGATAAAAAAAAAGATAATTGCAGAGTCAGGCTGAAAATGCAATTTCTGTGCTTAATGGTTTGCCTGAGATTGCTTTATTTGTGGGAGTTCTGCTGATGGTGGGGCACACTAATTAACCAGAACAGTAATTGGGACTCCAGTAGGAGTTTCCATCTTTTTTTGAGGCCATTTCTACTCTAGTCCACCTTCAGTTCCCAAACCCAGCTTTTCACTAAAAATGGCATCTTTTTCTCAGGCCATTTCCACTCCAGTCCACTTCCAGTTCCCAAACCCAGCTTTTCACTAAAAATGGGGACTGCTCTACTAAAATTAGGGATAAAAAAAGATAATTGCAGAGGCTGAAAGTCTGAGTTTGCTTTATTTGTGTTCTCTTGATGGTGACACACACTAATTAACCAGGTCAGTAATTGGGGCTCCAGCAGGAGTTTCCATCTTCTCTCAGGCCATTTCCACTGCAGCCCAGCTTCTCCAAGGATGGGGACAGCTGCCACCACAGGCCTTAATTCCATTTATTCAACAAGAATAAATGGAGGGAAATGTGAGAACAGAGGCCTTGGTGAGGCTGAGACCAGCCCAGTCAGAATGGGAGTCAAAACCTGCAAATTTGCAGGAGAAAAAAAAACCCAAAAAAATCCATTTTATCCTCATGTTTTTTAGTGGAAATGAGGTGGATCAGTGGGAAGGAACACAGCTCTTGTTTTATTTCATTGCCTGAATATTGCTGCTGCTCCCTGGTGTCCTCAGCATTGCTGGGGCTCTGGTTCCTGCTCCCAAATTCCTGCTGCCAGCATTCCAGACCTGTTTTCCTGGCTGTGTGGCTAGTGATTGTTGCTTTGGGCAATCAGCTAACTACACTGCCTGGCAACCAGGCTGATGGCAGAGCCTCTCACCCCTGCTTTTCCTTCCCAAAAGCCCCTCCTGCAGCAGGTTCTGCCATTAATCATTATTTTCTCCAATTAAAATTCTCAGTTAAGCTAAGTGGTAATTGTACCTCCAGCGAGTTTAATATCCACTCCACATTTTAGGGGTTTTTACTTATAAAAACTGCAGTGAACACAACACAAAGACCATTTCAAGAGTGCAAAGGCAAAGCAATTAAACACTAAAATACAAATTATTGTGCAGCACCACACTGCATTTGAGTAAAAGCATTGCTCAAAACTCCCTTTACTTACCTTGCTTAATAAAACATTAAAAAAAAAAAAGAAAAAGAAAAAAAAGAAAATTGTTGATATCTGGCAGAGAAGCTGAAGGATGCAACCTAAAAAATTCATAGTCCAGTCTGTGTGTGTTAAAAATTAAGTATACAGTAAATTAATCATTTAAAACCAGACAGGATTCTTGGTCCAGGAAAATTCCTGAGGATTTTAGCACCAACTTCAAGAAATCCAAGATTTCACTTCAAATTACCAACACTGCTGCGGGCAGGTAAAACTCTGGAAACGAAGGTGCAGATAAATCCCATTATTCATGACTTTGCAGTAGGAAAAAGGGAGCTGGGAGTTTCCTGGAGCAGGGAATGCTGTGCCTTGTTTTGATGGCAGTGAAGTTAGTGATTGTGGGCTGATGGAGACAATCAGCTAACTACACTGCCTGCAAACCAAGGACTTCTCCTGGAGCCACGGGATGCAAACCTGGAATGAAAGAAAACACTTCCAAGGATTATACTGGATTATATGGAATCACCTCTGAAGCAAGAAAAAAAATATTATCCAACACCTCCATGAAAACTTAAAAAATTCAGGACTTACCTTGGAGCAGCTTACCTGGGAATAATCCCCAAGAGGACAGAGTTTGGATGGAAATGATTCCATGGGAAGGGAAAAATGGGTGGAATCTTCCCTGTTCCTTTTCCCTGGAGCCTTTCCCTGGCAGAATTCCTCTGGGGATGCTCCCAGCTTTTCTCCTGGGTTGTTTCCATCCTTTCTCCAGGGATGTTCCCATCTTTTCCTCTGGGATGTTTCCATCTTTTCTCCAGAGATGTTTCCATCTTTTCTCCTGGGATGTTCCCACCTTTTCTCCAGGGATGTTCCTCTTTTCCAGTGGATTCTCCCACCTTTTCTCCTGGGGTGCTCCAATCTTTTCCCTGGGGTTGCTCTTGTCTTTTCCCTGGGGATGTTCCCATTTTTTCTCCTGGAATGTTCTCATCTTTTCCTGTAGATTTTCCCATCTTTTCCTCTGGAATGCTCCAATCTTTTCCCTGGGTTGTTCCCATCTTTTCCCTGAGGATGTTCCCATCCTTTCTCCAGGGTTGTTCCCATATTTTCTCCAGGGTTGTTCCCATATTTTCCTGAGGATGTTCCCATCTTTTCTCCTGGGATGTTCCCACCTTTTCTCCAGGGATGTTCCCATATTTTCCCGAGGATGTTCCCATCCTTTCTCCAGGGATGTTCCCACCTTTTCCCCTGGGTTGCTCCCACCTTTTCCCCTGGTGCTCCCGGCGCCGAGTGTCCCTGGGCCAGCCCCTGCCTGGGAGCTTTGTGTACTGCTGTCACCATGGCCACCCCCATGGCCAGGGGGACCCGGGGACAGCTCAGGTGGCCCCAGCCGTGGGAGCTTTGTTGCAAGAGAGGTTTCCATGGGCAAAGTCAACACGGGAAACACGCCCAGAGCTCGGAATTCCCACCCAAAGGGCCCCAGGGGAGGGTGAGCCCTGGTGGCCCTGGTGGCACTGGTGGCACTGGTGGCCCTGGTGGCACTGGTGGCACTGGTGGCACTGGTGGGGGTCCCAGCTGCTGTCCCCGGGGCTCCAGCCTGGTGTGATTCCCACCAGGAATTGCCAAAGCAGCTGGGAGGGGTGGGTGTCCTGTGCTGTGCCACCTCCTGCACCTCTCCCCTGGTTTTGGGGTCTGCCCAGCCACTGCTCTGGGGTCTGTTCAGCTCTGAAAATCATGGCACACACACAGGAAGAAAACCCAGAAAATTTAAAGAGTTGTGTCAACAGCTCTTAGACTCCATAAGATAAACCCAGGTAGATTTGCAGTCTTTCATTTGTTGCTTGATTTTAGAATATCCTGGGTCAACCCCACTGGGGTTTTTAGGTTTATTTGATTACTTAAATCACTAAATCTGAAATAAAATTTTAGCAATATGGAGTATTCAAACCCTTACAATTTTTGTGGTGGTGATCAGAATCAGCTTCTGGTTCACTCCAGTCCACAATAATTCTTTTTGCTGGCTTAAGTACAGGTGTATAAGTTAATAACCTCCAGGTATGAGGTTTCTCCTGCCCTCTGATTTAGTGGTCCATGGAACTGGTGCTTCTGGGTGTGACCAGGACAGTGAGCAAACAAATGCAAGCTGCTTTTCCCTCAGGAGATTGTCACTGAGGATGCTTTTCCCTGTGGAAATCACTCAGCATTCCTGATTTTTATATCAATATCCACAAACTGCAGCTGCTTACCTGGTGGAACTGCCCGCCTTCCGTCACCCACAAAAATCAAATGCCTTGCAGAGGGGAGCTGCACTTCTTGATTTCCATTTTTCATCCTTTAAAACAGGAAAACTGTAAAAAAAAAGCCCTGCAGGGGTGGGTCCTGCCAGAGTGTGCTTGGGGGAGCTGTGTTTGCTCTTGGTTTGGGCTGCAGTTACTACAGAAACTGTCCCTGGGTCTGTCCCTGCCTGCCTCAAGCCTGGGCTTGCCTGCTGACCCAGGGACACATCTTTAATCTGGCTGGGAATGCTCCTGCCCAGCTGGGAGCCCATTTCAGTCCCACTGAAGGCTTTGGACACATTTCCCTGCTTTCAGCCAGCTCTGGATCAGTCCCGTGGATATCCAGGCGCTGGTTTTTAGTGGTTTGGCTTTTTTTAAAAAAAATTCCTAAAAAGGATTAAAACAGCATCACGTTCCAAAAGGCACAAACATCTCCTCATTCATCTCCTGGCTCGTCTCAGTCAGAGCACTTGGCTGTCCCTGCTGGGTTTTGCTAAAGCTGCTGGGATGAGAGCAGTTCCTGTTTGGATGCAGCTGGGAGCAGTGGGAGCAGTTTTTGGCTGCTGTTTGGTGGCTGTGCCAGTTTTGGTTCAGGCATTCTCTTCCTCAGCAGTTATTACCCAAACACCCAGGGCTGTGTTTTCTTCCAGCCAGCGACAGCTGACAGCTCTGGGAAGGATTGGAGCCTGATTAATGTCCCTAATTAACGAGACAGTCGTTAATTAGGGACATTGTCCTGCAGTGGGGTGCCACCACCACCCTCTGCTCTTCTGCCTTCTGTGACATTCACGGGAAAAAAATGCTTCAACTCCTGCATGGCATCAAAAACACCAAGTTAGAAGTTCTCTGAATCCCCATTTCACCCACAACTTGAACACTCAGAGCCAGCTGGGTGAATTGCTGAGAACTTTGCCCAAATTCCCCCCTGTTTGTTGTTTTAAATGTGTAGAATTTGACCTTCTGCCCATCCAAGATTTATCCCCTCAGTGCCTGGCTGGTTTCTCAGGTGAGGGCTTGGTTTGCTGCCCACCTGCAGTTCCTGTGCTGGCCATGGGAACAAGGAGCCCAACAGGAGGAGGAGGAGGAAGGGGAGGAAGAGGAGGAGGGATCCTGGTGGAACCCTGGCTGCTGAGGATTTTAGACTTCCTGTGCTGAAAGGATATAATTTTGGAAGCCTTTCCACAGCCTCAAAAGAACTCTGCGTTTGACCTGAGGCCGTGGAGAAGCTTCCAAAATTGATGGACAGCACTGGGATGGTGGGTGTGGAGTTTGAACAGAAGTGTGTGATATCACAGCATGGGAAATTTAAATACTGAAATACAGGATCCAGGCTTCCCTCTGATGTCCCTTGTGGATTCCAGCCCCTTATCACAGAATTTCCCCACTCACAGGAGATGAGGAGGTGGAGCAGGAGATCCTCAAAACCCCGTGCTGGGTCTCTGTGTGACCCCAGCCACGCTTGGGGCAGGAGGGTCCCTGGGGAATTGCTGGGGCTGAAATGGGGCAGGGTCAGGAATGGGGAGCAAACTGTGCTCTCCCCACCCTGGCTGCTGCTGCTTTCCAGTGGGAATGCTGCTTCGGCTTGGGTAGCTCAAGAATAAAAGGAAATCAAGGTTGAGAGGAAGAGGTCATGGCTTTTATTAGGTTACGATCTGATACTGAGGGAAAATGATGTGAAATCAAAGAAATCGGACTTAATACCCAGATTTTGGCCAGAAAGACAAAATCATCCCTAGAGGAATCCCAATCTGTGTGTCTGGGATTGTCTAGGAAACCTAGAATGGACTAAATTTACTGAGAGGAGCTAAAAAAATTAAAATTATGTGCATCACCCATCATTTTTAAATGGCAAATCTTCCTCTTTGACATTTCCCTGGACACCAATTTTGTCAGCTCAGGTAAAAACCCACAGATCTGTGGTGGCTGCCCTGGGTTTTTTGTAACACCTGCTTCTCCTGCAGTGATCAAAACTTTAAAGTCACTTGAGAGCTTTTATTTTGATTTAAAAAAATATATATTTTTAATATTTTAAAATATTTTTTTTTCTGTGTGACGCAAGCAAAATTAAAGAGCGAGGAAGGAGCTGTGTGAGTGGAGAGAAATGAAATCCAGAAACAGCCAGGAATTTGTGGTTTGGGGGCACAGTTTGTGCCTTCAGACTCTGAATTTCTCATCCCCTGCCTGGCACCACCCCAGGCTGAGGAGTGAGCATTGGAATTGGGGGGCTGCACATCCCCACCCCCCTTAGGAGCCACTTTTGAGCACTCAGCTTCTTTTTACTTTCATTTTTTCTTTTGCCTCCGCAGCTCCTGGGGTCTCACTCTGCAGACACAACTTCCTGAGGCAGCAAAAGGGGAAAAAAAAAGGAACAATCAGCTGTTCTCTGTGCCAAACATTTGAGGAACTGAGACATTTTCTGTGTTTTAAACGCCTGAAAAATGATATAAATCTGTGCTGATAATGGGAATTAGGAAGATCAGCGATGTGATAAATCCAGAATCCAGCAGTTTTCTAAATAAGGAACGCCAAATGTGAGGGTTTCACGTGGAAAATAATAGAAAAAAATAGAAAAAGAAAAAAAAAAAAAGGAAACAGGAAAAGGAAAAAAATAGAAGCAGTCCAGGACCATTCTAATAATTAATTAATAAGCCTGGTGCTGTTTTCTCGCGGTGAATATTAAATATTCCACAGGGATTTATGGGGTAGACTGATGGACAGAACAGAATTCAGCATGGAATCTGTTAAATCACCCTGAGAGAGTGAGCTGGTGTAGGAAAGAAGCCGAGGAGACTGGGAAGATTTTGGAATGGGTTGTTAATTAATCCAACACACACCTGCAGCTCCTGCCCACCTGAAGGTTCTTACATTCCTCAGCTCCATAAAAACCTGAGCCAGCCCTGCCAGGGAAGGAGGGAGGGAGTTTTTGGGTGCTGGGGTGGCTCCTGTGTCCGTGCTCCAGGGCCCTGGGGGGTTTTAGCTGATTTCTTGGTGCCTCTCTAAGCTGTTGGTGAAGTTTATCTCAAGTTTTTACTGTCTCTGCTGTGAAAAGGTGACATTTTTGGTCTTTTTTTTACATAAAAAGCTCTCTATTTGTAAGGCCTGCTGCTTGTGATATATGTGACAAATAAGAACTATTATATTTTAAACTCTTTTTTTAAAAATATTCTCTCTTAACTTGCTTAGTGCAGGTACATTCTAGCAGTGCATTAAGCTGGTTTTAATATCCCAAACCAAATTTAATCTGCTGTTTGGCAGTCAGGCTTCTCCAGGCTCCTTCTATCCTGGCTTGTGTGGATTTTGCAGCATCAGTTTTTGGAAGCTGATGGTGCCTTAATGTTATTAAACTTGTGTGCTGTGGCGTTCCCTCTCTGCTCCAGCTGAAGATGAAAGATGAAATCGCTGCCACGGTTTTCTTCATCACCAAGCTGGTGAAGAGGGAGGACAGGCTGAGCAAGCACAAAATGGAGAAGTTTGCAGCCAAGCTGACCACGCTGCTGTTCGAGAAGTACAAAAACCACTGGTACCTGGACAACCCCTCCCGAGGCCAAGCCTTCAGGTGAGAGGGCTCGAGGGACAATTCCTGGAGGCCTTCAAGTGAAATAAATAATGCAGAGTGAACCACCAGGATACCCCTGAAGGTTGAAAGAAGAATTATTAATTGGTGAAAGTTTATTTTTTTTAATTTGTAAATGTGGGATTAGAGAACTGAGGTGAATTTTTTTTTTTTTTTAACCTCTAAATGTGGGATTAGAAAACTGAAGTGGAAATATTTTTTTTTAACCTGTAAATGTGTTATTAGAGAACTGAGGTGGAATTTTTCTTTCTTTTCTTTTACCTGTAAAGATGGGATTAGAATACAGAGGTGGAAATCTTTTTATTTTACCTGTAAATGTGGAATTAGAGAATTGAGGTGGAAATCTTTTTATTTTACCTGTAGATGTGTGGTTAAAGAATTGAGGTGGAAATCATTTTTTTACGTGTCAATGTGGGATTAGAGAAGTGAGGTGGAAATCTTTATTTACCTGTAAATGTGGGATTAGAGAACTGAGGTGGATTTTTTAAAAAAAAATATTTTTAACTTGTAAATGTGTTATTAGATAGCTGAGGTGGAAATCTTAAGACCAGTGTTTCAAATAGCCCCTGGCTCCCAGGATGCAGAATTCAAGCTGTCTCAAAGCGACTTTTGGGGTGGTTTTGTTTCCAACACTAAATCAGTGACTTGCCTCATCAGCTATTGATGAGAGCTAAAAGCCAGGTCCTGTTTGAGCTGATAAACCAGCTTGTGAGGCTGAATTTCTGCTCGGGGCTCTAAGGGAGAGCACCAACAGCTCAAAAGCGACAACAAACGGAGATTTTGGGCGCGCCCTGCTGTCCCCAGGTGCATCAGGATCAACAAGCACCAGGCTCGGGATCCGCTGCTGGAGCGGGCTTGCGCGGAGAGCGACGTGGACTTCCAGCTGCTGGGCCTGCCCGAGGAGATGACGCTGTGGGTGGATCCCTTCCAGGTGTGCTGCAGGTGAGCTCCGCCTGGCCTCGCGCTGGGCGTGGGCAGGAGGAATGGTGGGTCTGACTTCGTGTGCTCAGGAGGCTAGTTTATTGTTTTGGTATTATATTGTATTAAATTATGTGTTAGGTATTAAATATATGTGATATAATTTAACAGAGTATACATGTCACTATTTAATTTAATATATTACATAATTTAATTTATTATATTGTTTATTACGTAACTTAACGCCTTATGTTACGTAACTTAACGCCTTATGTTACGTAACTTAACGCCTTATGTTACGTAACTTAACGCCTTATGTTACGTAACTTAACGCCTTATGTTACGTAACTTAACGCCTTATGTTACGTAACTTAACGCCTTATGTTACGTAACTTAACGCCTTATGTTACGTAACTTAACGCCTTATGTTACGTAACTTAACGCCTTATGTTACGTAACTTAACGCCTTATGTTACGTAACTTAACGCCTTATGTTACGTAACTTAACGCCTTATGTTACGTAACTTAACGCCTTATGTTACGTAACTTAACGCCTTATGTTACGTAACTTAACGCCTTATGTTACGTAACTTAACGCCTTATGTTACGTAACTTAACGCCTTATGTTACGTAACTTAACGCCTTATGTTACGTAACTTAACGCCTTATGTTACGTAACTTAACGCCTTATGTTACGTAACTTAAACGCCTTATGTTACGTAACTTAAACGCCTTATGTTACGTAACTTAAACACCTTATTTAATACATTATTTAATATATACATATGTTTTGAATATATACTTTAATATATATTTATCTATTATATTATATATATAATCTGTAAATATATATTATGTCTTAAATTATATTAAATACTCTACTGTACTAAGGAATACAGAAAGGACACAGACAGAAGGGTAAAGAGACAATAATGAAAGCTCGTTACTTTCTCCAGAGTCCTGACACAGCTCGACCCTGATTGGCCAATAAGTCAAAACAACTCACAGCAAAAACCCAATAAAGCAACCACCTGTGGGTAAACAATCTCCAAACACATTCCACATGAGCACAACACAGGAGAAGCAAATGAGCTAAGAATTTTTTTCCTTTTTCTCTGAGGCTTCTCAGCTTCCCGGGAGAAAAATCCTGGGCGAAGAGATTTTTTCAGAAAATATGAATCTGACACCTTGGGAGCAGAGGCTGGCCAGAGCTAAAGGAATAAAGTGGGGATTTATTGAAAGGTTTTTGCATCTTGGGCAGTACAGGAGCCTGGCCATGGCTCCACCCTAGATGGAACATGAGTCAGGAATTTTCACCCTTTTATCAGTTTTGCTCCATTTCCATGTTGGGTAACGCCTTATGTTACGTAACTTAACTTAACGCCTTATGTTACGTAACTTAACTTAACGCCTTATGTTACGTAACTTAACTTAACGCCTTATGTTACGTAACTTAACGCCTTATGTTACGTAACTTAACGCCTTATGTTACGTAACTTAACTTAACGCCTTATGTTACGTAACTTAACTTAACGCCTTATGTTACGTAACTTAACTTAACGCCTTATGTTACGTAACTTAACTTAACGCCTTATGTTACGTAACTTAACGCCTTATGTTACGTAACTTAACGCCTTATGTTACGTAACTTAACTTAACGCCTTATGTTACGTAACTTAACTTAACGCCTTATGTTACGTAACTTAACTTAACGCCTTATGTTACGTAACTTAACTTAACGCCTTATGTTACGTAACTTAACGCCTTATGTTACGTAACTTAACGCCTTATGTTACGTAACTTAACTTAACGCCTTATGTTACGTAACTTAACTTAACGCCTTATGTTACGTAACTTAACTTAACGCCTTATGTTACGTAACTTAACTTAACGCCTTATGTTACGTAACTTAACGCCTTATGTTACGTAACTTAACGCCTTATGTTACGTAACTTAACTTAACGCCTTATGTTACGTAACTTAACTTAACGCCTTATGTTACGTAACTTAACTTAACGCCTTATGTTACGTAACTTAACTTAACGCCTTATGTTACGTAACTTAACGCCTTATGTTACGTAACTTAACGCCTTATGTTACGTAACTTAACTTAACGCCTTATGTTACGTAACTTAACTTAACGCCTTATGTTACGTAACTTAACTTAACGCCTTATGTTACGTAACTTAACTTAACGCCTTATGTTACGTAACTTAACGCCTTATGTTACGTAACTTAACGCCTTATGTTACGTAACTTAACTTAACGCCTTATGTTACGTAACTTAACTTAACGCCTTATGTTACGTAACTTAACTTAACGCCTTATGTTACGTAACTTAACTTAACGCCTTATGTTACGTAACTTAACGCCTTATGTTACGTAACTTAACGCCTTATGTTACGTAACTTAACTTAACGCCTTATGTTACGTAACTTAACTTAACGCCTTATGTTACGTAACTTAACTTAACGCCTTATGTTACGTAACTTAACTTAACGCCTTATGTTACGTAACTTAACGCCTTATGTTACGTAACTTAACGCCTTATGTTACGTAACTTAACTTAACGCCTTATGTTACGTAACTTAACTTAACGCCTTATGTTACGTAACTTAACTTAACGCCTTATGTTACGTAACTTAACTTAACGCCTTATGTTACGTAACTTAACGCCTTATGTTACGTAACTTAACGCCTTATGTTACGTAACTTAACGCCTTATGTTACGTAACTTAAACGCCTTATGTTACGTAACTTAAACACCTTATTTAATACATTATTTAATATATACATATGTTTTGATTATATACTTTAATATATATTTATCTATTATATTATATATATAATATGTAAATATATATTAGGTCTTAAATTATATTAAATACTCTACTGTACTAAGGAATACAGAAAGGACACAGACAGAAGGGTAAAGAGACAATAATGAAAGCTCGTTACTTTCTCCAGAGTCCTGACACAGCTCGACCCTGATTGGCCAATAAGTCAAAACAACTCACAGCAAAAACCCAATAAAGCAACCACCTGTGGGTAAACAATCTCCAAACACATTCCACATGAGCACAACACAGGAGAAGCAGATGAGCTAAGAATTGTTTTCATTTTTCTCTGAGGCTTCTCAGCTTCCCGGGAGAAAAATCCTGGGCGAAGAGATTTTTCCAGAAAATTTGAATCTGACACCTTGGGAGCAGAGGCTGACCAGAGCTAAAGGAATAAAGTGGGGATTTATTGAAAGGTTTTTGCATCTTGGGCAGTACAGGAGCCTGGCCATGGCTCCACCCTAGATGGAACATGAGTCAGGAATTTTCACCCTTTTATCAGTTTTGCTCCATTTCCATGTTGGGGTTCATTGTCCAATTCCAGCTCCAGGTGATGCAGTCCCACCCTCCCAGTTTGCTCTCCTACAATTCTGCTGTTTGCACTTTTTGGGCTGAAGCTGCAGCGGTGCCCTTGATTTTGGGGCTGGAAAAGGATTGTTCTGTGTGACTGAGCTGCGAGGAGAACTTTGCTGGGGGCTTACAAACGCCAAGTGCTGGGAGTTCCATCAGCCTAAAGCTTCTCCCAGCATTAACCCCTGAGGGTTTGGCACCTTGTGGGGCGAGCTGGCCGCTGGCAGAGCAGCAGCACCCACCTGCAGCCCTTGCAGGTACGGCGAGAGGAGCCGGCCCTTCACCGTGGCATACTTTGATGGCGAGGAGAACCCCGAGCTGCCCCAGCAGATCAGCCTGGCCGTGGGCAGGGCAGCCCTGGACTGTCACTCCAGCACCTCCTCGGATGAAGAGACCTTCAGCAAGGAGCCCAGAGCCATCCCCACCGTCAGCAACCCCAACAGCATCTACCAGGTGAGCCGGGGCTCTTGGGGACTCTTCATCCTAAAATCCCTCCAGAGAGGTGCTGGCAGGGGGGGTCAGGCTCTTCTCTCAGTGACAGGATGGGAGAAAACAGCCCTGAGCTGCTTCAAGGGAAGTTCAGATTTAATTTCTCCCCTGGAAGGGTTTTCCAGCCCTGGCAGGTGGGGTCAGGCTCCTCTCCCAGGGACAGGATGGGAGAAAACAGCCCTGAGCTGCTCCAAGGGAGGTTCAGATTTAATTTCTCCCCTGGAAGAGTTTTCCAGCCCTGACAGGTGGGGTCAGGCTCCTTTTCTATGGACAGGATGGGAGAAAACAGCCCTGAGCTGCTCCAAGGGAGGTTCAGATTTAATTTCTCCCCTGGAAGGGTTTGCCATCCCTGACAGGTGGGGTCAGGCTCCTTTTCCATGGACAGGATGGGAGAAAACAGCCCTGAGCTGCTCCAAGGGAGGTTCAGATTTAATTTGTCCCCTGGAATGGTTTTCCAGCCCTGGCAGGTGGTGTCACTGTCCCATAAAATTGTGCACAGCCTGGTTTTAGATGTCAAACTTGTCCGTGCTTTGTGAAACAAAGTTTAGGAGCTGTGGCCCTGTTTCTTGCTAATTCTCTTTACAGCACTCCATGTGTTTTTAGAGCAGTGTATGAACTATTTGAAGAATTGTTTCCATGAAGAATTGAGTTGTTTCCATGGGGTGCTGACCAGCCCTGATGGAGCCACCATCCCTGGGGAGGGTTTCCAAGTTGTGGCCCTTGGGGACACTGCTCAGGGCTTGTCCTTGGAGGCTTTTCCCAGCCTCAGTGGTGCTGTGGGTGGGATGAGCTCTGGGAGGAGGCAGCAGGAAGGACTGGGGTGGCCGGACTGCTCCCCCACCTTCCCCAGCACATTTTAACATTCATTTTTCCCCCTTTTTGCTGCTGAGTTTGGTGACTTCTGCAAGGCTCCCCCCCAGCCCTGGTGGCAGTACCTGCACAGGAAGCCCCCCGCGGCCGAGGGCTCCCACTTTGGCCAGCACAGGGGCTACAGGACCTACAGACCCACGGCCACCTTCGCTGGCCCACGTGTGGACAGGTACCACTGGATCAACACCAAGAGGTAGAGCCGGGGCTCCTCGGGGCTTGTGGAGCCCTGCTTTTGTGAGGGGGTGAAGGCTGGCACTGCAAAACCTCATAAAAACAGCACTTCCTGTGGAATCCCTGTCTCTGACTATTTATCGATATTTTCGGGGGTATTTGTTTGTTTTTTCTTCTTCTTCCTGGATTTTAAATGTTTTTAATTGATGTTAACATAAGACTGAAGATGTAATGTGAGGCTCTGCTTGTGAGTTAAAAAGGAAATGCATAAATCAATAAATCTGCTGATGTTTTTTTATTAAAGCCAGCTGCTGGTGGTGCCTTGAAGGGTGTTCAGGAGCTTTTTGGTGCAAACACCAGCAGGTGAAGGAAGATAAAACCACCCCAAGCTGCTTTGAAAAACACTTTGCTTCCTTCTGGCAAAGGTGTCAGGAGCCAAGACCTAAATGTCACCAGCAGAAGTGTCTGGGGTATTTAGTGACTCACAAAAATATTTAAATTCTGCTGTGCCCCCATGAGTTTTGTATTGATAGGGGGAAAAAAAAAAAAGAATTTTGAGTGATTTTGCTCTTCCCTCACTTGTTTTTTATCTACCCTGGAGGCTGGGCTGATGTTTCACTGATTGGGAAATATTGAATGTTTCATGTTTTGGGGTTTGGCTCTGGAATTTGGGAGGAGGACAGACTCACTCCCCAGGTTTAAGAGCAGGAATGGTCCTGGACAGTGCATTCCTGGCTGGGTGGGAGCACAGAGCTGAAACAAGGCGACTTCAGAAGTCGCTTCAGTGGTGGAAAAGAATATTTCTTGCACTTTAAGTGTAATTAAACAGATGTAATTAACCCAAGTAACTGTATCTGCAGTTTTTGCTGTGTCATAAAATCAGAAAACTGCAGCTCTCAGCTGCAGAGGCCTCAGAACACCTCGTGGAGTGATGCATTAGTTTAAAGAATAATTTATTTCTCACTAGGACTTGAGTGGTTCTATATTTTGCTGCTGTTCCTGGAAACCCTGACTCTGGGATTTTTGCAGCAATATTTCTTCTCAGCGCTTGGATGTGGCCAGAAATGTCATTTCCTGCAGCCAAAGTATTGTCACTTCCATCCCTGCACTGCTCTCCCTCCTGATTTAATGAGCATTTGGGATGGAGAGGGGAAACACTGGAATTGAGGCAGAAATAGAGATTTGCTTTGGGATGGAGAGGAGAAACACTGGAATTGAGGCAGAAATAGAGATTTGCTTTGGGATGGAGGGGAGAAACACCAGAATTAAAGCAGAAATAGAGATTTCCTTTGGGATGGAGAGGAGAAACACTGGAATTAAGGCAGAAATAGAGATTTGCTTTGGGATGGAGAGGGGAAACACCGGAATTGAGGCAGAAATAGAGATTTGCTTTGGGATGGAGAGGAGAAACACCAGAATTGAGGCAGAAATAGAGATTTGCATTGGGCTGGAGCCTAATGCCCAGTGCAGAGGAGCAGGAACCAACCACGGAGTTCTGAGCATCACAACTTTCTGCCCTGGGCTATTTCCTCTTCCAAAGCATTGATTTGTTTCAGCAAACTCTCCTTCTCCAAGCTGGTTATTTCAAGGTAATAGGAGAGCAGATCTTCGTTGCCTTCACTGCTTAAGAACTGCTCTTCATCCTCTGCAATCTGCAGCAGCTCCTCAGTCAAAGCATCCACTCGATCCTCCAGCTCTGAGGGGGACAGGGAATTCACGGTTTGCTCCTTGGGGCTAAAAAAAAAACCAGGGAAAAGTTGAAATTGGGAGGGGAGAAATGGCAATATTAAAAGTTTATCTGCACGGGAGCAGGGCTGGTTCCAGCTGTGCTCCTGCCGGAGGAAGCTGCAGCCAGATGTGCACGGGGAGCCTGCAAACAGCTGTGCAGATGTGCACAAAGAGCCTGGAAAGCACAGCTGGCACCTCTGCTTCCCCAAAATCACTGCCCTCGCCCACACAGGATCGGGGATCTCCTCCTCAGCCACAAACCCCCCAAGGTAAACTTCCTGAGGGGAAAAACTTGCAAAAAAAAAAGTGTTTTTGTGAGCAGAAATGAGGGAACAGCACGGATTTGTCACCTTGTCTGCGTTTCCTGCTGCAGGTGGGTGATCCTCGCTGCAGGAGCTGGAGTGGTTTTCTCATTTTCTCCACTTTTTAACCCCTCTGTGCGAGCAGCAGAGGCTTTTAAAGTGCTCCTCGAGGAGTAGCCTGGGCAAGAAAACAGGAGGGAAATATGTTTTCTGCAAGAAAAAGTATAATTTTTTTCAAAATTTACCTTAGCTTTGGTGAGGCCTGGCGAGGAACACTGAGTCTTACAGGTGATTTCACCAATTTAATTTGCTCATTAAGCCCAAGGAGATCTTTGACAAAACGGGAGCAAAAAATCTGATTTGCAGGAGAATCTTGTGGATTTAAAGCTGAGTTTATAACTCCTGCTGAGCTGAGCTCTACCTGCTCTTTTCCCCCTGTTCTCTCCTCCTCCTCCTCCTCCTCTTCCTCCCCTTTTCCTGGCGTGCTCAGAGCCTTCAGCCAAAGCTTTTTCAGCAGGGAGATTTCATCCATCACCCTGTGATACAGAACTTTCACCTGAGGTACAAAACAAAGAGAAAATGAATAAAAATTTATAAAAAAATAAAATAAAAAAGCTGATTTTTGGAGTGAATAATAATTTGGTGGAATTTCCCTTTTTGTACTAAAGCCCAAACTGGGACAATTTTTGGTGCAAGCACATTGATGGCAGTTGGGCTCAGACTGGGGAATGATGATTTTTCCCACGTTATTTATTATTAATCATTAAATTAATATTTATTTATTATTTATCTGTGATCCAGCTCCCTCTGCTGTCTTTAAAACCTCACCTGGAGTTCCCAGAGTGCCACAGGTGGGCTCAGATTTGGGCTGTGAAATGTTTTCCTATTGATTTCAGCAGCAAAATCAATATATTTACTATAAAAAAATTAAAATTTTTATTACACTCATCAAGTCTTTTATTCATCTCTCCTCAGTTTAACCTCCAGTGTAAAAAAATCCACTTTTTATTTCATTTTATGGGTAGAAAGTTGAAGCTGGAAGCTGAAGTCACTTTCCAAAAATTATCAGTTCAGTAGCAAGAGAAGAAATTCCAAGAAAATCAAAATATTTTATCTTAAAACTCATCTTAACTCAAAGCTCCTCTTCCAACTTTTCAGAAAACGAGCAGAGATTTATTTATCAAACCCTAAACCGCTGAAAATCGAAATCAAGATTCTACCTCAGTCAAGCCTTGATGAAACAACATGAATAGAAAAAAAAAAAAAAATACTCAATTTTAGGGCTTTTCTACGCTAAAATCAGCAGAAAAAAAATTAATTATTAACGAATAATTCTATTTTTATCGAAAATAAGAATTTTTACCTCTTCTTTGAAGCGGCCCAGGGTGGCGGTGACGGACTGGGAGTGCCTCAGCAGCAGCTCGAAGAAAACTTTGGTGTTGAAAGAATCCAGGTCCAGCGGCTCCTCGGGCTGCCCTCGCCTGGCTGGGAACGGGAATTTCGTTAATTAGGTGTGTTCATTTTAATTAATTTTATTTGTTTGGTTTCTGCGTTGTTGGTTTCAGGCTGGTTCTGAGCGGGGAATTGCTGCCGCGGCCCCGGATGAAGCAGCCTGGAGGCGGAATTTGGGGTTTGTGATGTGCGGAACGCCCCTGGTTTGGGGGTTTTTGGGGTTTTTTCTTTTGGGTTTTGGGGTTTTTTGGGGGGTTTTGGGTTTTTGGGGTTTTTGGGTTTTTAGGGTTTTTTGGGTTTTCAGGGTACAATTTAATTTGCTCATTAAGCCCAAGGAGATCTTTGACAAAACGGGAGCAAAAAATCTGATTTGCAGGAGAATCTTGTGGATTTAAAGCTGAAATAATATTAGAATAAAATAAGGGGGAGTGGCAGGGCTTTTCTCTCTCTCTTACCTGGTGATAAATTGTTTTTTCTGTTTTCCTCCAGCAGCTGGAGCACGGACTGGAGCAGTGGGATCAGTTTTTGGGGGATGAACTCCCGTGGATCACTTGGCATTTCACTGCTGCCGTAAATCCTGGGGCTCTGGGAGCTCCCAAAGCCCCGTGGGGACCCAGGGGAAGGCACCTGGAACAGCACACAGGCTCTGACGTCCGTCAAAAATAGGATTTTATAAAACCAAACCTCCTGGCATCTCCCGCCTTTTCTTGTAAAAATTAAATTTTGGGTTAATAGCAGATTGTTCCAAGCCAGCAATTTAAAAACCTTTCCCAGTGGTTATTGTCCCAAACTCTGTGCTTTTCACACCCTCCAAATTAATAGAAATATTGCAAATATAATCTGAATATTGACTTATATTTAGTGTCTTTCTCGAGTAAGTATTTTGTTATTTTGCTCTGATCCCCTGCAGTTTTTGGGCGTCACCTATTGTTTATGGACAAATTGTTTTGCAGCCTATAAAATATTAAACATGTGCTGCACTGAAAGTGACATTTTACGTGGCTGTGCCTAAAATTTCTAGAAGAGAATTCAATTTCTTATTCCGTGTATAAATTCAATTCACCATTCCATGGATAAATGTGATTTGCTATTCCATGTGTGAATTCAACTTGTTATTCCATGTAGAAATTCAATTTACTGTTCCATGTGTAAATTCAACTTGTTATTCCATGTATAATTTCAATTCACCATTGCATGTATAAATTTAGTTTGTTATTCCATGTAAAATTTCAATT